GGCAGATACTCCACAACTTGAGTGTACTCCTCAATTGCCCTTTGTGGTTAGGTCCTGAGTTAATGCTGGCCAACCTGGACTACAGCCTGTAGTCTACTATAGTACCACAAAAAGCTTGTAGTACTGCTACTACTACTACTACTTCCCTATGTTGCTGGAATGACAGGCATGCACCACTGCATCCAGCAGAGATGAAGTCTCATGATTCTGGTGCCCTCCCCCACACCCTCCAGCCTTGAGCCACAATCCTCTCATTTCTGTCTCCCTGGTATCTAGGATCTTCTGTGCCTGGCTAAGTTTATACATTTTGACAGCTTGCATTTATGGCATTGCTAAGGGGGAAAAAAAAGATGTAAACATTCCTTCTAACTTCAGAATAGAGGTAAAAATGTAAATTTATTGACATTTCACTGGAAGTTGGTCATCTACTCTAAACAGAGTTTACAGTAGATAGAGTATATACTGAATACATGCAGTTTTCAGTATATGAACAGCATTATGGACTGACATTGGTGGTCAGTCCATTGGTAGTTCAATGAATTTTAGTCAAATGTGGTTTAAATAAAAATGAAATCGACCTTAGTTTTAGGCTTCCAGCGCAGTCATTAATGATTAAATGCCCCTTTTGTGTGAGTACATCTCTCGTACATTTTCTTGTCTGGTTTCTGTTGCAGCCTTTTGGGACAGAGGTTGCTTTCTCTAAGAGTCAGCAAGCATTTTGGGAGTTCTTCTGGGCACAGAGGATTCTATGTGAACAATACCAGTGGGGTCCCCCCTCCAGGGCTGCTCAGGGATAGTGACAGTCCAGGTTATTCGCTCCTAATCCTCCTTCATGACCCCACAAGGTCTTGATGGTTGGAACCAGAAGTGGATGCTAAATAACTCCTCATTTAATCTCCTCTTTTCCTTATCTACAATATCAATATGAAAAAGAAAGCTCCAGGGATACCGCCATCTCTTTATTGAGAAACACAAACCAGATATTCATGTCTTACTCCTGTAATCCTAGCTACTCTAGAGGCTGAGATCTAGAGGATCAAAGTTTGATACAAACCTGGGCAGAAAAGTCTGTGAGACTCTCATCTTCAAAATAACCAACAAAATTCTGGAGGCGTGGTTTAGCATCAGGCATGAGCAAGCAGTCTGCTGAGCAAGAGTGCAAAACCCGGGGCTGGGAAGGTGGCTCAGTAGTAGAGCGCTTGCCTTGCATGCCTGAGGCCCTGGGTTCGATTCCTCAGCACCACATAAGCAAAAAGAAAAAAGCCGGAAGTGGCGCTGTGACTCAAGTGGTAGAGTGCTAGCCTTGAGCTGAAGAGCTGAGGGACAGCGCCCAGGCCCAGAGTTCAGGCCCCACGACCAGACCCAAAAAGAAAAAAAAAAAAAAAAAGAGTGCTTAAACCCTGAGTTCAAGCCCTGGTACCATCAAAAACGCAACAAGTGTCGAGTACCATAAAGGGCTGTATTCAAGAGCGAAAATGAATGATTTGTGTGAAAGACTATTCCTTGTAAATTCTTTATTTTTCAAGCGTTACATATGATTGATATTTGGTTTTATTTCCACCGAAGCTATTCTAGTTTTTGAGTATCCTGATTCCTTTATGGTAGGATTTTCATGCTCTTTGCTAGATGCCCTAATTTTGTTTGTTAGGAGAACAGTCCTAGTGGCTGTGTATTCACTCCACCTTGCAGGGTTAACATGCTCTCTCTAAGGATGTTTTAATAGATAGAGGACACACACTAAGAGCAGCCACCGCCACCCGTGAGTCATCACAGAGCTGTGACAGCTCTGGAGTCTTGCAGAGTGCAGAGTGCTACAGCATTTCCCTGGCTAGGCTCCCTCATGCTGTTCTTATTTCTCCCCTTCCTTCTAGTCCCCAGCTATTCTTTGAGTTACTATTGTACTCAGTGCAGCAGAGCCAAATGTGGGAGGGTAAACTTGTCAGGAGAGAGAACTCACGTTTATCAACATTCATCTAAATTTGACTTGGGTTAAACGTGCTAAGAAGCCAGGCACTTGATGGTCTATGCCTGTATTCCTAGCTATGCAGGAAGCTGAGATTTAGAGGATGGTGATTCAAGGCCAGCCAGGCAGCAAAGTTCACTAGACTCTTATCTCCAAAATAACCTTCAAAATACAGGATTGGAGGCAGATAAGAGTGCTAGCCAAAATAAATAAATAAATAAATTACTGAGAAGAGGCCTAAGGATGAACTATTCCTTTCTCCTTGTGTCGCACATCTGCTTCAGTGCTGAATGGTGCCACTCGCTTTACAAAGAGAATCACGAGGCAGGTGGGCAAGGTCACAGGCCACTGGAAGTTATTCCTCTAAGATACCACATGGTATACACCTTGCGAATTTTGAGAGTTTGAAAACTACCCAAGTTGTCAGACTACTTATACATCTGGCATTTTTACCAGAATCATGCCGGGTTGTAAAGTCACTCTCTTGAAGTTATTTTGATCACTCATCAAGCTGAAACCATAAGTTGCCACAGATCTCTCTTAATTCAGATCCCATCCAGATTTTAATCTAGTGTTGGCTTAGGCTAGACTCTAGCATTGAAGATTGAATAACAGAGTAGCACTTTGGGGCACAACACCTTGTGAGCCTCCATTTATAAAATCCCCATCATAGACCAGAGCAGAGTTTGTAAAGACACTTTTTGTCCCTGTGTTAGTCTGTGATGGCTTGTTCTGAATCTCTCAGTAAAGGTGTTCATTCTCAGCTGGGCCAGTCAGCTTACTGCTACCTGCCTCCATGGCATTAATTTCAATATGTACTTTGTGTTTGGAGTCAATGCAAGTGAAAATTTTATTCACATTTATTCTATCCCTTACAAATGTGCTCAGACTAAGACCCTACACATAGCAGTACATTTAATTCTCACCATGGTCTAAGAGCTAGGTACCTTTTATTATGAGTAAACTGAGGCACAGAGAATTTTCAGTGACTTGCCCGAAGTCCCAGACTGATGAGTTACAGAGGATTCTGGCTCCCAGGGGTGTGGGTTTGATGTAGCATTAGTAACAGTTTGCTTTCTCTTCTTTGCTATGTACAGAGGTATCTGCACTTCCGTGTCCGATGAACTCTCCAGGAAGTAGAGACTCAGCAGGCAGCCCACATGTAGGCATATCACGTCAATCAAAAGTGGCCCTGGAGGGGTGAGTTGGAAGAAGGGGCCTTTTGCATTGTTCTGTGTTATAGGATTACCAGAAGTTCCTCTGCCAGCAGAATTTCAAGTTTTTAGCATTGATTTATTTTTATTTAGGCTCATTCACTTTTGGTAGAACTATTTCTGGACTCTTGGAAAAGAGAAAGAAATACCTTTTCCCTTGAAACTTGATGGGGAGGTTTTCAGTGACTATACAAATGACAGGAAGTAACTTTGTTCTTTTTTTATTTTAGTTTTTTGTATTTCACCTGGTGTTGACCACATCTTCACTCTTTAATGGCGCATAACATTGGTATTTTAGATGTGTGTATTGGTAAAGTGAATCACAGATTTGTTCCACAATAAAAATAATTTAGACACTTATGATACATTACTAAAGCAGAGTTTCTGATTAAAGAATAAAGTGGTAAAGGTCACACCTGTAATCTTAGTTACTGAAGAGGTTGGAGGTTACCTGGAGAACCGAAGTACAGAACCAGCTCAGCAAGAAAGACAAATATCCAGAAAAAGCTGAGTTGAAGGTGTGACTCAAATGGTAGAGCACCAGCCTAGCAAGCTTGAGGCCAACCCCAATAGTTGAAACCCCAGTGCCACAAAAAGAAAATTTTAGCAGATTTTCTGAGTCACTTGTATTATTTTTTACGAATATAAATTTAAGCTTAAATTTTTGTATAGGTCTTACTCATCAATAAAGCCAAAACAATAAATCACAAATATAGGTAAAAATAAAACGCCAAACCAACAACACTCAAGTCACTTTAGACAATGATATTTCTCTGAAATTAAAAGAGCAGTATACACACAGCACTGGCTGATTCCTTTTACAGTTGGCATGCCTGTGCAACCTTGCCAATAGGAGTCCCTCACTCCTTTGTGTCTGTGTTGGATCTACTGTAAAACCTCATTCATACGTGTGTCCTGATATTCCTGCACCAGTGCACTGTTTGCCCAGATGGGTTAGTTCATATTGTCATTTGTTCTTTTCAAAAAGAAGTTAATACTACCTGATAGCAGTAAGCTCTGAGATGCAAATTCAATATGAAGCACTGAAATCATCTGACTAATCCTTGCTTGGCAATAATCAGACTACAAGACTGTGGCTTAGTGGTAGAGTGCTTGCCTAGCATGCATGAAGCCCTGGGTTCGATTCCTTGGTACCACATAAACAGGAAAAGCCAGAAGTGGTACTGTGGCCCAAGTGGTAGAATGCTAGCCAGCCTTGAGCAAAAGAAGCTCAAGGACAGTGCTCAGGCCCTGAGTTCAAGCTCTAGGACTGTCCAAAAAAAAAAAAGAGACTACTCTTGATTTATATATGTGTATGTATGTATATATATACATATGTATATATATATATATGTATATATATATCTGCATAGCATATGTGTGTACATATATATTAGCTTAAATTATATAGGGAGAGAGATTTCAATGTTACATCTCCACATATGATTAATAAATTTTTTATATGAAGGAAAACATAATTTCTTAAACTCATATAGAGATTTAGACTCCAGTTTGAGGAACATTCTAATCTACAGGACAGATACCTGTTGGGAATGTGTAATGTATCACACACGGCTGGCAATGGGAAGCCTAAGAGTTCCTACTACCCTTTTTTTTTCAACTGGCCTCGATTTTATCCAGGTCTGTCTTAAATCTATTTCCAATTTGCATCACCCCAGTAGTAATGAATACAATGAAGGAAGAGCACAGAGAAGTCCTTTCATGTTCTTACAGCTCCTCTGAGCTTTCAAAGTGAGGACCCACGGTTACTTATTACTAGGTGTTTCATACCCATCGTTCCCTTCATAGTTCTGTGGAGTTATTTCTAGTCACTTTCTACTTACAAACTGCATATTCCTATTATACTGACTATGTTACCAGGTCCAATCAGGAAGAGGAAAAAATGTATTTGACCTTGGAACATTTAGAGAATAACTATGATTTGGTATTAGAGTAATAAGGGATTGACTAGTAAGAAGTAAAAAAGACTCTATAAAGAATACGGATAGCAGATATAAGGGACAGTCATAACCCCTAAGCTGCAGTCCAGACCCTGTTGGAGAGAGGAGAAGTTGTTGGAGCCTCTTGCCAGACATCCCTCTGAAATTCCTAGAAAAGCTGTTCATTCTGTGGTGTATCACCAGCAGTGCTCTGCAGTCCATGTGACCCAAAGGACATTGTGCCACAGGAGTCAGCTAGAACTAAGTAAGACTCCTTGTTACAGGGAGACTCTGCAACAAAAAACATCCTTACTTACTCCTTACCCTCCTCGAGCCAGAGCTCTGGGCCCCAGGGCTTCTCTGCCTCTCAGCCTTATCACTGCAGTTCTTCCAGCCCTGAGTCCACTCTCCTTGCCCATCCCCCTCACCCACTAACAGAATTGAAGAGGGTGTGAGTTGTCGGATTGTTAACATGTAAAGTAGCTCCAATACCTATCTATGGAATGTATTAATATAATTATGAATACATTTTCAATCTACAATAAAGACAACATTTTATGAAACGAATGCATTTTCGTTTGTAAACTGTGAAAATTATATTTGACCTAAGGGTACTGATGGACTATATGAATACATAACTTCTTTCTCTCTGGCTATGTTTGGGTTTTGAGAGGGTATTTGTGGAAGGAAGCTCCCATGGGACCGAGGGGAGGGTTTCCTCATGGACAGGAAACTTGTTACAGAATAGGAAACAAAGGATAGAGAGAGGGGGAGGGTGGGAGGGGGGAAAGAGAGCGAGAGAAAGAGAGAGGGAGGGAGGGAGACATGTGGGTACCAGGGAAGGAGACAGAGGCAAATATCAAAATGGGAAGAGGAAATTGTGTTTCTCAGAGCTTTCTGAATGACCTTGCACCCCCAGCTGAAAACTTCTGTTCTAGAAGCTCTGATGGGGATAGAGGTTTCTGTCCTTCCCTCTTGGCAGTGCAGAAAACATTGTGTGCTTACTTTTAGCTTAGCCCCGGAGGACTTTTTCTTCAATACACAATCTCTCTTCTCTTAAATAAAGGGCTTTTAGTACAGTTAAAGTTTGACCTAGTCTCCCCACCCCCCCAATACGAAGTCATCCTTGCTCTTAGTTTTACCTGTGGGTAAAGTCCATTAGTCACATAGAAGAGATGTATCCCTTTAAGTTTCTTGTCATAATATAGTTAATAAATGTCAGACACATTTTTGGGTTTTCCTGGGGTACTATGGATAGAACACACTAGGCAATTACTTTAACATTGAACTGTATCCCCAACTCAATGACTAATCAATGTCCTCGTCCTAATAAGCTATGTGGCACTGTCTCATTCCCACTGTGGTCCCAACCCCTCTTTTTCACTTCAGGTAAAATACACTGTCAACAATCTTATATCTATCTTCAACCTCCAATGTATAGCCAAAGAACAGGAATACACTATCTGACACTGTTATCTAGGAAGACTGGCAGACCTAAAATGACCTCAGTTTCAGAGGTCACAGTGTCCCCAGAACATTTAATGATAGATCATCCAAGGCTTTCGACACAATTATTCCTCTAATTACTAACAAGAAAGAAGGGGTGAGCCTGGAGGGGGAGATGAAGTCATCTCGTGACTCAAGTTGGGGGGCAGGGTAGGTCACTGCTATTCTGACCTAACACATCTGGGCTTACAAGGTAACAGAAATTTAAGATCACCCAAAGAGACTTTTGGTCTTTTTGGAGACCCAGTCTTTTCATGGACCTTCTAATTCAATTCCCTTTCAATTGAGAACCAAACTCTCTGGCTACAGAAAGCCCATGGGTGAGTGTTGGGAAAGAACAGAGGATGAGTGTGGTCAGCCAGGCATCCAGAGTGGTGAGTGTTAGACACATGTGTGCACATCATGTAGGCTAGGATGATGCCAGGAAAGAGCAGGCAGCATTGTCACACTCTCAGCCTAAAAAGATTTGGGGTAGGTCTTGTCAGGTACACTTGTAATCCCAGTACTAGGAAAGCTAAGGAGGATGGTAGTCTTTGGTCAATCTGGACTATATTGTCAGACCCTTTTTTCAAAAAGGTTTGATAGTTTGAAAGTATACAAATACAAAATGCTTTCAAACATAATCCAAAAGTTCTCTAATTCTCATTGAATAGGGAAAGCTATTTCTTCAGGGGGGGGGAAGCAATAGAAATTCAGGATATAGCCTACTACCAGTGGCTCACACCTGTAATCCTAGCTACTCAGGAAGCTGAGATCTGAGGATCATGGTTCAAAGCCATCCTGGGCAGGAAAGTTCGTGAGACATCTCCAGTTAACCACTAAAAAACCAAGACTCTGACTCAAGTGGTAGAGCATGACTAGCCTTGTGCAAAAATGCTCAGAGACAGCACCCAAGCTCTAAGTTCAAACCCCAGGATCAGCACCAAAAATAAAGAAAATTGGGATGTTTATTAGCTCTATTTTATCATTTGGAAAGGCATGGAGAAAAGATATGACTGTATGGGTACTGGTGACTCACACCTGTAATCCTAGCTACTCAGGAGGCTGAAATCTGAAGATCATGGTTCAAAGCCTGCCTGGGCAGGAAAGGCTATGAGACTTATCTCTAATCAGCTACCTGAAAACTGGAAGTGGAGCTGTGGCTCAAAGTGGTAGAGTATTAGCCTTGAGCAAAAGGGCTCAGAGGCACTGCCTAGACCCTAAATTCAAGCCCCACAACTCACCAAAAAGAAAAAAAAAAGGATATGACTGATTTGCTTAAGTACAACCAGTTGGAATTATGGAGACTACAGATAACTTCTGAGAATCGAACAAATTGTGAAGCCTGAACAAATGTGTATTGCTGTAGTCTGGTAACATGAACGGTCAGATCAGTCTAGCACTTGTTCAATGGATAGCCACTGTTTTGTTGTGATGTAAAGCTTAGTGATATACATGCAGCACAAAACCCTGTCAGTAAGTCTGGAAAGAGGAACAATCCAAGAGAAACTGTAGTTAGGAAATTAAAGTTTTAATGACCAGTTAGAAGTACTCCAAAAATTAAGTCAGATATAATTACTAAGGATTAAGATAGAGCCAAAACATTGCTTGCTTATACCTTTAATCCTAGTTACTGGGAAGGCTAAACTCTGAAAACCAGAGTTCAAAGCCAGGCTGGATGGGCAAGATCCTTATTCTAGTTAACTACAAAAAGCCAGAAGTGGAGCTGTGGCTCAAGTGGTAGAGGATTAGCCTTGAGCAAAAAAACTAAGGGAGAGTGCCTGGGCTCTGAGTTCAAGCTCTACCCTAGCACATGCGCGCATGCATGCGCGCGCACACACACACACACACACACACAAATGGGGTCAAAGGCAGAAAGTAAATTTGGTCTTGAAGTGGGAGAAGGGATGGGGTAGGAGGGACAGGTAACAATGTTGTCAGACACCTTGTATTCATATACTGTTTTGTAGAATGGGAACTTCTTGTACAACTACTTAAAAATAATAATAATAATAAAAGTTTAAAAATTTTGGTCTTGAATAATGTATTATGAACTATGCAGAGAGAGAGAGAGAGAGAGAGACCTTATTTTAAGAGACTGAGACCTTTAGGCAAATCTACAATTAGAATAACTATGACCAGAAACAAGAAATCATACGTTTAGATTAAGGTGTTGCTGTGTGTGCCTATAGTCACAGCTACTTGGAAAACTGAGGCAAAAGAATCATTTGAAGCCAGCCTGGACAATGTAACAAAATGATCTCTCTCAAAAAAAAATTACTTTATCCTTGACCATCTCTCTGTAGTAGCTATGTGATTCGGTACAAATTGTTTAATTTTCCACTTTTAATTAGGACAGTCTCACCTTTGAAGTCCCTGCTAAGTGCTACTACTCTATTTTGGATCACACCCAAAATTTCTAGGCAAGTGCTCTAATAGCAGGGACATGGTTTGCTTTGATATTTTTGAGACAGTCTTGCCATGTAGGTAGGCCTGGCTTGCTATCCTCCTCCCTCATAAGCTAGGATGAAACAGTGTTTGGTTTTATAACCAAATGAGCAGTTTATAATCATTTAAAATACAAATATCTCACAGTTCACCATTTTGCTAGTAAAGTCAGACTATTATAAATTTGAGAAACTATTTTATATGTTTTTGGTTTTTCTGAAAATGTGCTTCCCAGTTTTAAAGTTGACGTGTAAATTATTTTTTCTTTTTTGAATTTCACAGTACTCCCAATTTGGAAAAACAACCCAATGAAAATGGAGTATCTGTTCAGAATGAATCTTTTGAAGAAATTATAAATTTGCCCATTGGATCCAAACCATCCAGATTAGATGTCACCAGCAGTGAGAGCCCAGAAATTCCTCTTAATCCAATTTTGGCCTTTGATGATGAAGGGACACTTGGGACCCTACCTCAGGTAGATGGTGTGCAAGCACAACAGACCGCAGGTAAGCTTGCCTGGAATTCGCTTCTGGAATTCTCAAAAATATGTGACTCATAAGAGGAAATGCATGGTTACTTTGTCCCTCAAAAGAACAAGTGGAAAAATGACACATGGATCTTAGAAGTTGACTTCAGAGTTACATTGGGCAACTCACACTAGGGCCCCTCCTGTTCTTTGCTCAGGGCAGAAATTTAGTTTGTAACAACCAGCAGGTGTTGAAGGGCAGAACTCAGTACCCAGCATCAAGCGCTGTCAGAATGTTTCATGATCAGACCAGACGCCTCCCCTTAACTTGTAAGCCATTGCAATTGTGCCGCCATTATCTTTTAAAAATGTAATGTGATGGAAAGTTATGATTAGGCAAGAAGAAAAATACTACAAATGAAAACCACCCATATCCTTGTCAAATGGCTATAGCTGTTGAAACTGCCTAGGACTCACCTGTGGCCTGAAGTGTTTGTGCTGAAAGAACAGAAGCTTTATAGAACCGTCCAAAAAATAAAGAGGAACATCAAATATTGCAGTCCTGCCAGTGTCGGGAATAGGTGAGGTAATTCCAGTTGGAATTGTGGCATTCTCTCCAACAGATCATGTTCATATTGATCAGTATGTCTTTACACCATTATAAAAAGAACCAGCTCATGGCAGGGTCTGGAAATGGAGTTGGCACACAATTATTTATGAACAGTTGTTTTGCCTTTTGGATTCCATCTGTGAGCCTATAGTAAATATACCTTGAATGAAGTGGAAGAGCCAATTTGAACCACCCTCCAAATGTAGCTGATCTTTTCTCATCTGGTGCAGTGACTGAGAGTAGGATTTCCCTTTAGTGAACTCCACCTTCAAGGCTGGGAAAGGAGGTCAGAAAGTTCCTCCCTGGTCTGGCTTTCTAATAACTATGCCTTCAAGAACAATCTGATTATATTGGTAGAAAGAAGCACAGTGCAATTTCCTGTTTCTGTCATGTTTCAGATTCAAAGAACTTCCACATTTTTTTTTTTTTGCTTCACTTTCCAGGTCTAAAATCAGCTTCTGTATTATCTGTCATTTCATTCTCACTGTTCCCACCCTTCCACACCTGGCCTGGGAAATGTAGGCCAGCCTGTAACCTTCAATGGTATAAAGATTCTTTGTGAGTTCAGGACAATAAGTAAACATTTATTTAATTGCTAACGTAGCTTTGGAGCCCTAAACAGCTGGTACTGAGGATATAAGGCAAACGAATGTACTTTTCTTGGAGGTAAGGGGAGTTATAGATGTATGCAGTTTATAAAAGTAACTGATATTGCATACATTGAAGTGTTTTCCTATTATTGGTATTGCAACTGAATCGCAGTAAAATTGTAACTTACAGCCATGGTACTGTTTAAAAAAGATTTTAGATGAATGTCCCATTAATGTGTTCTTTTTTGTCTCCACATATAGAAGTTGTATGAGCATTTCTTCTGAAGAACCAAAGCAGAAATTTAATAAGAGTTTCTATGATTAATGGAATTCCTTTCATGCTACAAAGGAGCATCCCCCATCTCCAGTTTTTCTAAAGATTTCTTGACCATCATTTTGAAAAGACTGATTAAAACCAGCTAAAGACAACAGACTGGATAGCTTTTCTAATAATTTCCACCAACAGAAAGAAAGAAATGGTCCTTTATTCTTCAATACTTTTTCCAGTGTGCTCCTTCTTAGCAAATCAATATTTTGCATTCTTTACAAGACAAGAACATTTAGCTATCAAAGAAATGTGCTCACTAGGTGTGGTTTTTTTCACACAGGTATTTTGGTCTTAAAACCTTAACGAATAAAATTGGCAAAAAAAAAAAATTGACCTTTTACGATATATTACTTGAAAAGTAAGTACCTCTTTGCTCTACAAGTAGAGTAAATATGGGAGGTGTTTAAATTAAACTTGTTTAAATATTATTTCAAAGAGCTCTCTTTGTAGAGGCAAGCTATAGGCCGATCAGCAGTTTCTTGTAATGCAGGCACTTGTACATGGACAGTCTTCAACCCAGCTGTCATATTCTTCTTGCAACTCCCTTTACAAAAATGTACTACCAAGTTTGAAGATGTGAGAAATCGAAATACCTTATTTTTTTTTCAGGGCAAGAAAATAATTAACTGTCTTAACTAATGTATTTATAACATTTTTTTCCAAAGAAATCCAATAAATTAGAACAATGCAACAACATTAAAATTTTGCTTTCTTAGATGCACTCCTGCTGACATTCCCATGAGAGAATGTTGCTGAAGATTCAGGTCTATTTCTGATGTTTGTATATTGCTGCTGTCCCTGATGTTTCTGGTTGGGGGCGGGGGGGAGACTTATCTTTGCCTTACTGGATCAAAAATTATGTGGGGTTGGGGGGAATAAAGATTTCATATTTCTTTAAAAACAATGGTTTTGCTCGTTTCAGAGCAATAAAAAATACAATGAAGTGGTGACTGTGTGGCACACAGGCCGAGGACCTTCCTGGCTGCTCTTGCTCTGTGTGCATCGGTCAGTGTTTTTCGCTCTCTATTGTTTTTCTTCCCTTTTGCTGTTGAGCCTCGCTATACTTACTACCTTGCACTTTCATTTGCTAATACAAATTCTATATTATTTTCCTACCAAGAGACAACTAATGACTAAACATTGCAACAGAGAGAATGCTGAGGGAACACTTTTTTTGTGAACTCTTTAAGATAAATTTATACCACTTATAATGTGTTAGTTTTATACAAAGAGCAGTTGGTTAACCTACCAGATTGAATGAGAAACTATTCATCTACTGGATTATTTCTCTTAAATCCAAACATATGATCTTTAGCGGTAGCTTGTACTTTGTGGATTATTTTTCCCTATTTTTGGCTGTCCGTGTATGCATAGTCATTAAAAAACTGTTTTACAACATTGTTTTGTTTAAACCGACCTACTATAAAACACCAATAAAATGTTTGACATAATTTTAGGATTCTTGTATGTTGTGACTTCACTCAAATTGATTCTCTTTCTTTTTTCTTTTCTTCTTTTTCTTTTTGGTGCATCTACTGGGGCCTGAACTAAAGACCTCATGCTCATGCTTATCTTTTTCCACTCAGTGCTGGTGCTCTTACCATTTGAACTACACCTCCACTGCCAGCTACTGTCTCTGGTTAATCGGAGATAAGAATCTCTCAGATTTATCTGCCCAAGCTGGCTTTGAACTATGATTCTCAGATCTTAGTCTCCTGAATAGCTAGCCTTTTTTTTTTAAGAGCTAGGCATTGGATCCAGGACCTTGTAAGTGCTCCCAGCAACATGGATGATTCCTGAGCTTTTAAATTGCCCTTCATTTAGCCTCTATGACATTTTCCCAGCTTCCTAATAAGTACACATAAAGAATTTAATTTTTGGCTAAATTTTCCATTTATGTCTTTTTTAAGCTTATGTGAACATTAGCAAACTGAAAGCCTTCTAAGTAATCAGATTTTAGTTACAGGCAATAAGAAAAATTTTGACTATTTTGCTAACGACAATATTGCCAAAAGATGTCTTTAACCCATACAATGGCTGGATTGCTTTCTGTCTAGCATTTGAAGACCTGTTGTCCACTTGCTTGCCTTAAGGAAATTTTTATTTGGACACTACATTAAGGGGAATTCTCAAGGATCAAGTGTGACCCTCACCATGGAATAGGCTGAATCGCTTTCAGCACCTTCTGTACCCTTGTACACTAGGCCAGTTCAGTCATTCTTCAATCACAGGTTCCTCTCTAAGGTAGCCTCCAGTTATAGGAAGGCATGTTCATATGTCTGCTCTTGCATAAACTCACTACCCCAAATGAAAGTACACTTAACAGTCTCTCTCATGAACACATTTTTTGGCCACCAAATGTCTGGAAGCTCAGGAAGTGAGGTAATCCACTCAATACCTTGACGAAAAGATTTGCAGTGAAGCAGAAGCAGTGACATTCTGAAAGCAGAATGAGATGTCAGGTTGGATCAGGTAACCAAGAGTCTTAACCATGCATGGAGATGGGAGAGACTAGAGCAAAGAGAACTTCAGACCTGAGCTTCTAAACACACCTCATTAGCTTGCAGGCTGCCTCATTTCATGCCTATGCCTCAAAAAAATCAGACAACCATTTACCTTCCAAGCTGCCATCACCAGTGAAGAATTCCTAAGGTTCTTCATGCTGCTTAACATTGGTCAACTTAGATGATGGTGTTAAAGCATCTGTCTGGCCACTCAGTTGGTTTATTTCAAATGCTATCTAATCTGTCACCAGGACATCATTACAAAATAATACATGTGGACGCAGGTTTCAGTGGCTCACACATGTATCCGAATCAGGAGGCTTAAGATCTGAGAATCAAAATTTGTAGCTGCCCAGGCAAATAAACTCCTACATCCATTTCATCAGAAAAAAAGCCAGAGTTGGGAGACATGGCTCAAATGGTAGAACACAACCACTTGATCGAAAAAGCACAGGGGGTGGCCTTGAGTTCAAACCCCAGTATGAGCACAAAATAATAATAAGCAACTACTTTCTTTTTTTTTTTTCTGTGCTACTCTATTTTCTGTCTGAAACAGTGAAGAACTGTCATGCTAAGAGTCCTCCAATCTGTTTGCTCTGGGAAAAATAAGAAAGGCTTTTGTGAATGAGCCAGAAACTTAGCCCTATGAGCCCTTATCTAGAGACTGGCTGTTCTCTAAGCAGATTCGGGTTTGGCTTCTTTGAGCTCCTTTACACTCACCTCTTACAGCATTGAGAAATATATTCAACCATGAGGTAGTCTCATTAAAAGGTCAATCACATATGAATTGTTTTTAAATATCAAGGGTCAAACTTCAAGATATGTTCAAAGAAGTTTAAATTCACCTTTTTGTACACAAAGAAGAATAATAGTACACTTGGGGAAAGGACTATTGGGAAGGAAAAACTCATTGTCATCAGAAATGAAAAATTTGGGAACATCCAAGAGTCCACTGAAAGCAATTTTCCCCTTATTGGACTATCTAATTTTTCTATCTTGTTCATCACTGAATGAGAAGACCCAAATTAATAAAATTGAAGATGAAAAGACTATATTACAACAGAAACCACTGAAATTCAGAAGATCATTAGACTATTTTGAAAACCCACAACAATGGGAAACTCCCAACAAATGGGAAAATCTAGAAGAAATGGGTAAGTTTCTAGACATATCTGACACTTCCAATTTTGAACTAACACCAAGATGATATCATCTTGAACTCATCTATAATGGGCAATTTAATTGTAGGAATAGTGTCTCCCAACATAGAAAAGCTTAGGTCTGGATAGACTCAGTGTTGAATTCTACCTGAACTTCAAAGAACTAACCACTGCTCTTCAAACTTCCATTAAATAAGAAGGGAAATAATACTACAAAAGTCAGTCAAAGCCCATATTAGCCCTTGATACCAAAACTGAATGAGACAACCAAAGGAAATTACAGACCAGTTTTTTTTTCACTGAAAGCAGTTTTTTTTATGTTTTTTATTGTATAAATACTGTACAAAGGGGTTACAGTTACATGAGTAAGGTAATGAGTACATTTCCTAATGAGTACATTGTTACCTCTTCCTTTGTTTTTCCCCTACCATCCCTTCCCTCCCCAACTCCTCCCCCACCCCCAAGTTGTAAAGTTCATTTTCAACATAGTGTCTCCTACAGCTCATTGTTTTACAATGGGTCAACCTGAAAAAATAGGAACACTTCATGAGTTTGTGTGTCATCCTTGCACAGGGCCATGCTAATCTCTGTATCATTTCAATTTTAGTATATGTGCTGCTGAAGCGAGCACCAGACCAATTTTCTTGATTGCACATAGATGCAAAAATTCTCAGTAAAGTATTTATAAAGTAAATTAAAGAGCATGTTTAAAAGAAATACACCATGATCAAATCGGTTTCATTCAAGAGATGCAAGTTTGGTTCAACGTAGGAAAATCAGTGGTTACTTAAGGTACAAATGCACAGAAATCATGATGATTTCAATGGATGCAGAAAATTTTAACAAAATTCAACGTACTTTCATGATGAAAAAAAAGAATCCCTGAAAAAGACTATAGAAGGAACCTACCTCAACATAGGAAAGGCTGTATATGACCAACTTAGAGTTAACATTGTGCTATTTGAGAAATCTGAAAGTACAGAGTCAGGACTGGGGCAACAAGTGTCTACTCCGTTCTTACTCCAAGAGACAGCCTACAGAACAGGAGAAAATCTTCCCAGCTATTCATTGTACAGAAAAGCCTTCTGAGGCCCAGAGCAGAGAGCTTATACAGCTGCAAACAGTCACTGCAGGTGATTAAGGAGTGCACCCCCAGTTGTAGTGTAGCACTACTCCCCATAGCTGAGTGAGGAAGCAGTCCAGGCATCCCCAAGTAGACAAGAAAAGTGGGGAGATGGATGGAAATGGAGATTGTCATGTTAAGTGATAGAAGCCAGTCCTATAGAATATTAACATAGTGAGCACAGTCACAGCGTTGAGGCATGGTGGTGTCAGAATATATGGTTGGCCTGGCATGGTAGCACAACCTTATCATTTCAACTACACAAGAAAATATTTCTATCTAACTAAAAAATACCAGTTGGGCCGGGCACTGGTGGCTCACACCTGTAATCCTAGCTACTCAGGAGGCTGAGATCTGAGGATTGCGGTTCAAAGCCAGCCCAGGCAGGAGAGACTGTGAGACTCCTATCTCCAATAAACCACCAGAAAACTGGAAGTGGCACTGTGGCTCAAGTGGTAGAGCGCTCGCCTTGAGCTGAAGAGCTGAGGGACAGCAGCCAGGCCCAGAGTTCAAGCCCCACGACCAACAAAAAAAAAATACCAGTTGGGGGCATTATAGGCACAGATGACTAACCAATTGTCTCATACATAGTTAATGTATGCCAAATTTAAATGCTCTGCAGCCCTGTGTCCTACCATCTTGTACTATGTCTATTTATAAACGATTAAACCCTTGCAAAAGAATTTGGAAAAAAAATTTGGAGTTTTCCCTCCTACTTTTCCTTCCTTCCTTCCTTCCTTCCTTCCTTCCTTCCTTCCTTCCTTCCTTCCTTCCTTCCTTCCTTTTCCTTGTCCTAGTACTGGGGCTTAAACTCAGACCCTGGCCACTATTGCATAGCTTTTCACACATGGTGGTCTCTATCACTTGAGCCACACCTACACTTCCAGCTTTTTGATGGTTAATTGGAGATCAGAATATCATGTTTTTTCCTACCCAGACTGGCTTCAAAACTTGATCCTACTATCTCAGCCTCCTGAGTAGCAAGGGTTAAGACATGAGCCACAGGTGTCCAGCTATTCTTTTTGACATAGGAAATAGGAATGAAGAAAGGATGACATTAGAATGAGGGTTAATCCCTAGAAACTGCCAGAGATGCCTGTGTGCTGACCCTCTCCCACTCAGGTCTCCTCTTCTCAGTCTCTCGTCATTGCTTTCATTCAGCTCTCTTCATCTTTGACATGTTTTATTATGGGTTGAACTGTGTTTCTTGACGATCTTATCCATGATGCCTATGACTGTGACCTCACTAGGAATAAGGTCTCTGCAATGCCTATGAGTCTCGAAACAAACTCCAGGAAATGGAAACAAGAAGTTTTTTCTTTGTTGTTTTTTCTTCCTTTTTGTCTTGTTTGTTCATTTATCTGTCTTTGAGAGGGTAAGGGGGGTTAAAAATGGAGGGGGAAAGGTTGAACAAATGCAGCAGTGGTACTCACTAGACACTATGTGAGAAATGAACTATACAACTTGGTTGGGGATGGGAGGGAAAAACTAGAAGTGAGCAAGGGGACACTGTCCAAAAAAAGTATTAATTACCTGTCCTATGTAACTAAAACCCCTCTGTACATCACATTTATAATTACAATTAAAAATTTAAGGCCTCTGCATTTGGAACTAAACCAGGATTGAAGTCATGATTGTTATCTTTAGGAGAAGAGGGAAAACTGGGCAG